CACACACACACACACACACACACACACACACACACACACCTGTCAGGGGTCAACCTGTCGACCTGGAAAACTTTTCCAGGCTCGAGTTTTGTTCAGCCGGAGTCCCGACTGAACGTGAAAAAATAAAAATGTGTTGATTAAACCCGAACTAAACATCTAATAAACTTTAAAAACACTAAGTTTATTTTCACTAATCGCTCAAAAGTTGGCAGCAAAGACTGAAACTCTCAACTTTAGCCTGTAAAACTGATATTTAAACTATTGTGTTTTTAGTGATTCTTATTCAACCAAAATATATGAAACTTAAACAGTTTGTGCATTTTTCTTAAACTTTCACAAAAATAAATCAAACAAAAAAACTTTTAAATATGTAAATAAGCATTTCACAACAAAACTCACATGAACTAATTTAATTGGTTCATAGTTTTTAAATGCTTTATAAACATTAATACATTTATAATCCAATAAGCTTTATTTTCTTTTATTGTACAAACATTAAACACAATAAATACAAATAAAATGTAACAAGTGATTTCATAAAATGTATTTACAAAAATGTAACAATATGTACAAAAGGGTCAAATAAAACGTTTCATGTTCAGATGTAGAAAAATGTTTCTTATTCTGGATTTTCTGCCACTTTTCTGATTTCCTCCAGCAGCTCGGAGAAAGATGGCCGACCCTCAGGTTTCTAAAAAAACGCAGAAGAAGGAAGTGGTCACGCTTATATTTGTTGAAACTTAAGTTTTGACTCGGAAAACATGACGTTTTTGCTGTATTACTTTTTAAAAATGGATGATTTCCATTTATATTTGAACAAATACAAAGTTTAATGTAATATAATTTTAAAAAACAAAAGGTTGTTTTAGTAAAATGTAAAATTTTGGCCTGAATTAAAAAAAACTTGACTTTGTTAATGTTGAGATAAAAACAGACTAAATCAAAGATAAATTTGTAAATTGAGCTAAAATAATAATCTTTATTTTGTATCTGGTTCTGGTTCTGGTTCTGGTTCTGGTTCTGGTTGTACCTCGTGCCAGCAGCGGTACATGATGGTGTAGACCAGCTGCGTGGCTCGGTGGGGTCGGTACAGCCGGGTTCCTCTGGTGATCTCCGTCACCACCTCCAGGTTGGAGCGGTTCTCAAACGGCGTCCGTCCCTCGGAGAAGATCTCCCACATCACCACGCCTGAACACAAACACCTCGGAGGTTAGACCCGGACCCGGGGTGGTCCTGACAGGACAGAACCTGAAGGGTCTCCTCACCGAAGGCCCACACGTCGGACTTGCTGCTGTACTTGCTGTAGTGCAGAACCTCGGGAGGAGACCACTTCACTGGGAACTTGGCTCCGTTGGAGCTGGTGTACTGGTTGTCCAGAACGTACCTGCAGAAACATGATCAGCTGAGGAGAAACGGACCTCCTGCTCCAGAATCTGAGCTATAAGCTGAAGTTGTACCTGGTCATCCCGAAGTCGCTGACCTTCACCACGTTATGCTCGTTCACCAGACAGTTCCTGGCTGCCTGAAGCACCAAACCAAAGCTTCAGAACACGCAGCTGCAGCCGAGCAGTTAGTGTTTGTGACACTCACCAGGTCTCTGTGGATGAAGCTGTGGGCCTCCAGGTACTCCATGCCCTCGCAGACGTCCTGACACATGGACAGAAGCCACGCCTCCTGCAGAGCCCCGCCCCTTTGACGCAGGAAGTTCAGCAGGCAGCCGTTCTCCAGGAACTCGGCCACGATCAGCAGGGGCCGCTGCTGCAGACACACGCCGTACAGCTGGACCAGCTTAGGATGACACAGCCTCCTGGAGAGACAGAAACAGCTAAAACACAGCCGAGAGCTAAAGTTCAGCTTTAAACCTGAAGCAAACAGAAGCTAAAAGAAAAAAACAGGAAGTGAGAGTTCAAATCAGCTAAAAAGATGGAAATAATGGCTAAAAAGGTAGTTGAAGTAGCAAAATAGCTAAAAGAAGCACAAATGAGCAAAACAGTAGCTAAAACATGCTAAAAGTAGAAAAGCAGTAGCTAAAAGTAAAATAATTATGTAGCAAATCAGACACTAAAGCTAAAAGAAGCAAAATAAAAGACTAAAAGTAGTAAAATATTAGCTGAAAGTTAATGTAGCTGTAAGCTAAAATCAACAACAAGTTAGCGAAAAGGTTTATAAGCAAAACGGACATAATCAAAACTGCAGCTAAAAAGGCTAAAATAAGCAAACAGTAAATCAGCAGACAAAAGCTAAAAAAGAAAATTGGTAACAAAGAAAAAGGTCGAAAGTAGCCATATGCTAAAATCAACACACAGTTAGCTAAAACTAACAGTAGCCAAAATCAGATACAGTAGATAAAAGCTAAAAAAAGAAAAATGTAACTAAGCACTGAAACTAGTAAAACAGAAGCTAAAAGCTAATGACAACAATAAGTAGCTAAAAGTAGCAAAACAATAGCTAAAAGTAAAAAAGTGATAGCAAAACCGTGGCAAAAATATCTAAATGGAAGTAATGCCCCTTTTCCACTAGTGCCACTTAGCAAAAGTTAAATGTGTCCATAAGCTAAAATAAACACAAAGTTAGCTAAAAGGTAAAAAAGCAAAACGGATATTAACGAAATCAAAACTGCAGCTAAAAGAGGTTAAACAAACGCTAAAGCTAAAATCAGATAGACAGAAAACAAACGTTAAAAAGAAGAATGGTAGCAAATCGGTAGCTAAATATAGCAAAATGTAGCTAAAAGCTTTGATTTTGTTCAAGCAGGTTTTAAAGAGGAAAATGTTTTTGAGGAAAGTGAAGAGATTTTATTATAAATCTGTGATCATTTTGATTTTAAATAAAGTTCTGAAAGTCTTAAAGTCACAGCACTGATCTCAGCTGAACCTTTTATAAAATAAACGGTTAAAACCTCAGGCTGAAGTTTAACAGAAAATAAACAGATTTGACATGAAACTAAACCCTAAATGCTGACTCAGCGTTCAGGCCTTTATAACAAACTTCCTGTTTCCCTCTCCTCCTGGTCCTCACATCATGACTTTGGCCTCTTCGATGAAGTCCTCCTCGTACATGGACCCCTCTCTGATGGTCTTGATGGCCACCTTCTGCTCTTCCCTCCACTTGCCGAGCCTGACGACCCCGAACTGCCCGGAGCCCACCTCCTTCATGGGGGTCAGCTCGGTGGGGTTGATGTCCCACTTCTCTGCAGGAGGACACGTCAGGTTCAACACAAACCCTTAACTGGCCGTTGGCTCAGACTGCCGGGTGTCTTACCTGAGCTGAACCCGGCTGTGGCAGGAACACACCTCCCCATGGGTCCCACTGCGTACCTCAGCCTGGTCACCAGACCTGCAGAGACGCATCAGGTGAATGACACGGAGCTGCGCCCATGTTGTTGTTGTTGTTTACCTACCCGCTGCGTTGTGTTCATGGTAGTGTATAACGTCCGGGATGCACATAAAGGTGTGTTTCTCCGCCAGGTAGAACTGCCCAGTGTCCGTTATTTTAATCTGGTAATGTCGGATATCTCCGTAAGGACTGCACAGATTAAACAAAAACAGGTTTGTTGTGTTGCAGTTAAATATTTTTGTTTATTGGTACAGTTTGTTTTTTATTTCTGAATCACCTCAATGTCTTGGTGTAAACAGAAACGGTGTAAACTCCCTTCTGACTGGACTCCCGAACTACAAAACCACCTTCTTTGCCCTGAAAACATTAAAAATATACAACACGTTTTAATTAAAAACATAATCCAAAACAAGATGATTTTTAGATTGACTGATTGGTTTTTTAAAGAACGAAGTGTTAAAATCCTAAATAAACACTTTCAGATCAACTCTTTTCAGGTTTAAATTTCTAAACTTGGTATAAAGACAAACCTCTTGTCTCAGCAGCTGTTCAGCTTCTGTCCTCGTGATGTTCTTGCAGTACCACCTTCAGCAAGATAAAATGATAAATAAGAGTTTCTTTTTCCTGAATTAAAGGTTATGAGAGGAAAAAAAGACTCACGGGTTTGCCTCGATTCTGTTTTTCTCTGTGACGTAGTTACTGGGGATGAAGCCTTTATTCCTGATGAAACCATGAAATATGATTTAAACCGTTGTTTGTTTAGGCTCTAAATCAGCTGAAAGCTAATGTTTGTGTGATTTGTTACCCGTGTTTGTCCTGCGCTCTCCACCACAGCTGGTCTTGTTTGTGAAGAATGACGTACTCGTCCCCCTGCAGACACAAAAACCTGGTTCAGAGCCTGCAGCTGTCGGGGGTTCTGTTTGATTTGTGCGTCCAGATTCTGTTAGAACCTGTCTGAGCGTGAGGTCCGTGTCCTCCTTGGCGGTGAAGTCGTACATGGCGACGACGCTGATCAAACCGCCTCCTTCGCCGTCCTCGCCCTCCGGCGGGGGCATTGGGAGCTTCTTCCTGGACCGGTCCACCTTAAAGACAGAAAGTTATCAAATTTAATTTGATATCTGGACCTGAATGTCATAACGGACCTCAGAAGCTTGCAGTTTCTTACCCGACAGGCGTGACCCGGATATCGTCGGCTCTGGAAGCAAAGAGAGGTTCGGCTCTCCAGGTCCATGCGGGTGCTGAACTCCCTGAAATCAGACAAGTCCTTTTAATTAATTTTTTTGCATAAATTTGCTCATTTAGTTACAACAATCTAATATAATTACCATTCAGCTGACTTTTCCTCCCAAACCACTACTTTAGCTTCATTCACTTTGTTAGCATTAGTTAGCATTAGCCTTAAAGCCCGCCAAAATACGTTAACAAAAAACTTACGTACGGTCACAAAAACAAAATGTGAAGCCAGAAAATTTTGTTTTGAACCATATTCTTACTAGTATTTTTGCAAATTTTGAAGCAGGTCAAGTTTCAATCTTTACCTGGTTTGAACGGCACAGCAGCAGCAGAACACGGCGCGAGTCGAGTGATCTGATGAAATAAAACAAAACAGGTTACTGATGATCTGAGAAAGAGCTGGGTTAAAGTTTTATAAGTTTTATAGTTGTGTAAAATAAAAAATAAAACAAAAAAGCAACATACAGATTCTTGAGGAACACCTGTGAAGCTGCTACGTAGATGCTTATACATGTTTGTTTTTAAGATAATGTTTTATATCAAGGTTTTGCTGAATGAATTTTTTATTGTGAAACAGAGAGAGAGAGCCACCATCAGTATAAACGACTGTATCATCAGCATAAATGTATATTTTCTGATTTTAGCTGAAGAAATAAATAAATTTTAAAGATACCAAAGAAAAAGGTAACTAGTACAAATCCTTGGGGAATGCCTGTAAATCTGTATGAACGTCTAAAGTGAGTTTTGTCAGAATAATTTCTAAAGTATTTCACTGATATCTATTGAGTAAAGACGTTCATGATCTTCAGAGTCAAATATTGAATAAAAGGCTGTAAAGTGTTTACAATTAAATATTGTTGATTGTTATTTGATGCAATAAATGCGAAATTCTGTCAAACTTAAATTAAAAAGGTTGAACATATAGTTCTGTTTTGCTGGGACTTGAATGCATCCTGTAAGGTTTGTATTCAAAAAACTAATTATTTAATTTTAAAGGTATAAATAAGTAAATAAAAGCGTAAGTTTGTTTTGTAAAGAGTGAAGTAAAAATGGATTTTCTTGTTACTGAAGCTTTAAAACGAAATAAACTGCATTTTTGGGGCACTTGAAATGGAAATCGTTAAATTACGGACTTTGTAAATTCATGTTTGCTTCAGTAAACCAAAACAATATTTAAAATCATATTTGCACCAGCTGTTTTAGTTTGTGTCTGTCTTTGTGTCTCTGTGGTTTTAAGTAGGAGGTCTTTGTCAGGAAGTGTCATTTCCTTTTCAGCAGAATTAACTCTCTTTACTTCTGTGAGTCCGTTTGTGTCTCTCTGGTTTGTAGTGTGTGTGTGTGTGTGTGTGTGTGTGTGTGTGTGTGTGTGTGTGTGTGTGTGTGTGTGTGTGTGTGTGTGTGTGTGTGTGTGTGTGTGTGTGTGTGTGTGTGTGTGTGTAGGTGAGGATATATGTGTGTGTGACAGCGGGTCATTTTTCTTTGTTTCTCATGTTCGCACACACAGAAGGCTACATAATTTCCTGTGTGAGTTTGAGAGAAAAACCTACTCATCTGCAGACCATGTCGTGTGATACATTGGCGGCCTCCAAAATAAAAATGGGTCACAGATTTTGTCCCACGATGCGTGATCCCAGGTGCCTGGGGTTAACTGTGATGAACTCTGGATGTGGTTTGTAAACCTACATTTCATTAAAACTATTTTACATTTTTAAATCGAGCCTCCATGCAGCTAAAATCATTAAACAAACAAAACATGTTGCATGAAGTGAAAACCAATTAAATTTCCTATATTGTTCAAGTTTTGATTTATGGATGGTAGGATGGAGCAGGAGATGTATCAACGGATTGGGGTTTCAGTAATGAGGGTGTTGCTTCAGTCAGTCTTAGTGAAGAATGAATTATGGGCAAAGCTCTGGATTTCCTGGTCTGTCTACGTACCAAACTTCACCTGTGGTCATGTTTGGATCACGACCAAAAGAACGAGATCCTGATACAAGCAGCTCAAATGAGCTTCCTTCATAGGATGGATCAGCCTTAGAAATCAGGTGAGGAGTTCTGAGTAGAGCCGCTGCTCCTCCTCATCGAAAAGGAGTCAGATGAGGTGGTTCATCTGATCAGGATGACTCCTGGATGCTTCCCTTTAGAGGTGGTCCACAAGTCCCACTGGTAGGAGGCCCCAGGGAAGACACAGGATTATGTATCCTCTCTGGTCTGGGAATGCCTCGGCGTCCTACTGGGGTCTACTGGACCTGTTGTCTCTGTGATCCGACTACGAGTAAGCAGCTGAAGATGGAGATGTTTACATAGCTCCAGTCTGAAGCAAATATTACCCTGCTCCAACAAACCTGATTCAAACACTGGATCGTGTTTGTCGGAGCAGGGAAACAAGTAGTGGCCCTCGAGGACCAGGACTGAACACCCTGGATTAAGTCCAGAATCCTTACAGATTAATGTCAACCAATTTTTACAACTCTAATCTTGTGAACCTGTTTCTGATCAGCTGCAACACAGTCCACTTGTAAGAAAATAAGCCAGTGTTTCAGGCTGAAGATGTGATCCGTAATGACAGACCACCCAGTTAAAATCCACTCACAGAGTTTAGTTTGACGGATGTCCGTCTTAGACTCCAGGCTTCTACAATGAAAACTCATGTCTTCGTGGGACACTCAGGAAGTCTTGCTCATGAGTGAAGACAGGACAGAGAAGGAGATGAATCGACGGATCAAGGTATCATCATCGGTAATGAGGACAATGGTCCGGTCTGTCTTGGTGAAGATGGAGCTGAACCAAAAGGTGACACTCTTGATTTAATGGTCTATGCACTTTCTTAAATGAAGTCCTCTTGGACCCTTCCCTTTGGAGGTTTTCTGGGACAAGACCCTTGGAGGAGATGGAGAACCTCCTGAAGGAACCATTACTCCTCTCTGACTCCTTCAGGAGGAGCTGGAGAGTCACTGAGGTCAGGGAGGTCTGGGTGGATCTGTTACCTCTGCCACTCATTCATGGATATACAAAAACAAAAGGACAGAGGACCTATAATCCAACGAGGAGTCTTGTTTTCTACAGGTTTAAGACCTGATCTCCTTCTATGGCTCAATGGATCCAGTTCTGGTGCTCAGCAGTCCTCTATGGGAGCTCAGATGCTGGATCTCCTGACTGGTCTACACAGACCTGAACACAACAATCTACAGCATTTTAGCTGGATTTTCCTTTTTAACAGATGAACACTTGTGGTCAGCTTCAGTCTACATGTCCTGCATATTAAACAGGAAGGATTTATTCTGATAAAATTTAACATTTCTTTTATACTTCATCGATTTGTAGATCTGTGTTTAACAAACAAAAAACTGGACTGAAAATTAAAAAGAAGCAGCCAAAGACCGTCAGACTGAAACGACTGGTCAACATGCAACACAACCACCAGACTCTGTAACCCATGAAGGTCCATCAGACTCAAACATCTGTTTCTGACTCAGTTTCAGCCTCAGAACCGAAACCTCAGCCGAACGTTTCTCTGCAGATCAGAGGTGTTACTTTCTGCACAGGTGCCTCTGACTTTCTGAAGAATAAAGTTTGATTTTCCACGGCAGGTGCACAGCAGTAACTGCTCTGTGTTTTCTTTGGTCTCATGGTGAAATGACTTCTGAAGCCTAACGGTCTTTCCTCAAACTCTGATGTGGCTGATTTTAGCTGTTTTAGAAGCAAAACTTTCCTCTGAGTTGTAGTTAAAGCTTCAATTACTTTACTTTTGATAAAACCTGCATTCAGAGGAAAATGATCTGCTTTTTGTTGTCTTGGATTCATTTGTTGTGTCTGAAGTTTGATTCTTTCTGACAACGTTCGCTGCTTTTTCTTACAGAGAAAGTAAAAAGGACAGATTTGTTTGAGGTTGTTACTTACTGGAATGGATCATGGTTACGTCTCTTCTTCTCCCTCAGTTCCAGCTTTATTCTTCAGTTCGTTCAGGTCGGTTTCTCTGCACCGACAGAGCCGATGTGATGCTGCAGGTGGGAACCGGCCGAGGCGAAGAGCCAGATTCAGGTGGGTGGAGGAAGTCACCAGAGAAGAAGAAGAAAGAAGACGGCAGCTAGGATTGGAAACAGAAAAGCTTGCTTTGTTTCTGCTGCTGTTTTTGGCAGCTTCAGCCACATCGGTGGAGGTTTAAATGTCTGCGTTAAACTCGGTTCATTAATTTGTCAGCGTTTATAGAGTGGGAGAGAAATGAAAACAAAGAGGTAAAGAGGAAGTGAAAAAATGACGTGAACAAAACCACAAGACATCCGTCTGTGAATCAAGGAAGAAGAAACACAAACTGAAACGCTCATTCAGCGAAACACATCTCATTATTTTGACTTAAAGGCTTAAATAAACAATCAATGAGTGAAAAAAATCATAGTTTAATTTTTGTGGAGAAAACTCTGAGCTCAGACACAATAAGAGGTTGGGTGTGCTCGGACCTCGGGGGGGATTTCAGAGAAAACCATCAGTCCTGTCGCAGTCAGAGACACAAACACCTACGTCTTGTTTTATCTGTAAGTGAAAAGTTTGTGAAAATAAAAACGTTTGAAAGTTCAGACAGCTCAGATGTTATTTTGACATCATCACAATCAAAGTTGAAGGTTTTGTGGTGGAAAAAGTCAAAAAACCTCAACTGTGATGGTGGAAAAGTCCCAGTTCAGACAAGTCAAGTCCGAGTTTCTGCAACATGTTTCTGCTGTGAAGTCTTTTAACAAAAACACCTGGTTTTTATACGTAGATTTCTCACCATTTATTGCAGATTTTGCCTGAAGATCTTTTACTTTCAAAGGTCACTGTTCTCAATTCAATCAGGTTTGATTTATGTGGGAAAAACAATGTAATTAAAGCTATTAGACACATTAATGTTGCTGTTTTATACACACACACACACACACACACACACACACACACACACACTGGTTTGAAAATATTTAGCCACAGTGCAGCTCTGTGCCTTTCAGCCGTTGATGATTAAATATTATTGGTTTAATATGAACTCAGTGAGGAAGCTCATTAAAACTTTCTGTTCCTCTTTTCACTAAATCTGGGTCTTTAGGACGGCAGTGATGATGTCACGTTTTAATCTGAGGGTCCAGGGACCTGATTCAGATTCTTTATCGTCATTCACTATTTGTGAATGACAATAAAATATAACTTAAAGCTACATTTTGGCAGAGATAATTATATATCGCTCTGTTCAGCTCTCGCTCTTTTTAGCCAGCCTGTTGATACTTTTAGCTTTTAACTAGCATGTTCTGCTTTGACGTTTTTAGGTCAAAACAAAGGTTTATCCCTTTGTTACTTCTAGCTACTGTTTTTATACTTTTTACCTTTTAGTGAGGCTTCTTCTATTTTTAGCTTTTAGTTAGCATTTTGCTACCCTTATTTTTTTAGCTAGTGTTTTCTTATGTTTAGCTAGCATTTACAGTAGCTACTGTTTAGAAATGTTTTAACACTTAAAATTGTGTTTTTCCCCTTCTTTTAACTTTTAGCTAACCTTTTGTTACATTTAGCTTCGAGCTAGTGTTTTGTTATTTTTTAGTTTTTAGTTAGCCTTAAGCTTCATTTAGCTTTTGGCTATTGTTTTGCTATGTTTGTAAAGCCTTTGGCTACATTTAGTCAATGTTTTAGTACTTAAATGGTGTTTTACTTTTTTAGCTAGCTGTTTGGCATTTAGCTTTTACCTAGCCTTTTGCTACATTTAGCTACCATTTACCTATTTTTATGTAGCCTAGGTAATTTAATATTGTGTTTGGTTCTTTTAGCTAACCTTCTAGGACATTTAGCTACAGTACTTTATTTTGGTACTTAATTTGTATTTAGATATAACCCTTTGCTAAGTTAGCTTTTAGTTAGGGTTTTGCTGCATTAATCTAGCATTTAGGTACTTTTACATAATGTTTTATAAATTGTTTGGTTCTTTTAGCTAACTTTTTGAACGAGCATTTAGCTCCTTGTAAGTAGAATAATGTTTTGGTATTTAAATATGGTTTTGCCTTTTTAACCAGTTTTTGCTATTTAGTTTTGTGTTTATAGATTTAGTTTGTATTTTACGGAGCCCGCGAGGGGACATGTGGGATTTTTTTTCCTTTTACGTTCCCACGCAATACCTTTGCGTTCCCTCGCAATACTTTTGCGTTCCCTCGCAATACTTTTGCATTACCTCGCAATACCTTTGCGTTCCCTCGCAATACTTTTGCGTTCCCTCGCAATACTTTTGCGTTTCCTCGCAATACTTTTGCGTTTCCTCGCAATACTTTTGCGTTTCCTCGCAATACTTTTGCGTTTCCTCGCAATACTTC